CTAACTTATATAAAACTAATGCAAAGCGGTTGTTGGGGAGGCTGGGGAATCCCCCTCTTAACAGGTACTCAAGTAAAATTGGGAGTGTATTAAGAAAAGACAGCCGTTTGTTGCATCTGTTTTTTGATGCCTAGCATTTGAGACTCTGAGATCCAAAGTTGGTCTCCTTCAGAGGACTGAGAGGGTGGTCTATCCTGTATCTAGCATGGGGGCCCCTGAGGGCTTATTCAGACCTGCATGCCCATGGCTTGATTATTTATCCTTTGATTACTCAGCCTTTGTGTCCTGAACCACTGGCCCAAAGGAGGGATCATGGGAGTGGTTGAGTGCAGGTATCCTGAAGAAGGATGCCAAAAACACCAGAGTGCTTTATTAAAGAAAGGAGTAGACTTACAGCCTGCCAGGTCTCCTAGCCGTTACATGTTCGAGAGAGACACCACAGCAGGAAGATGGCTTGTCTGCACCCAAGCAAATGTGCACACATTCTTTATATACAAAGCAGTATATCACTTGGTCTAGAATTCCCCATCACTTCACCAGCCCAGATGAAGGCATAGATTGGCAAATATCCAAGTCTTACAGATAGCTCCCCTTTCTGGGCTCAAAGCCCAGTACCCTAAACCCATAGATAGCGATAGCACCAAAGCCAGCCAATTAGCTTATATCAAAGCAAGTGAATATAAACTGCTTTTTTTTCTAGAAAAACAGGTGCAGGAATGCTGCCCTATCCCTCCTGCTTCTGCACCAGTGGAAGAGGGAGGGCTGCTGTGTGAATGGGCAGAGATAATGCGCAGGGAAGAAGCCTCCCTGTGTGTCTGCTCTGCAAGCTGCCCTGCCCCTCCTGCTTCCGCACACAAGCAGGAGGGGCGGGGCAACTCTATGGAGGGGAAAGAGCAGGTGAGCAGAGAAGCTTTTTCCCTGCGTGTCTGCTCTACAAGCTACCCTGTTCCTTCTGCTTGCTTGCACAAGCTGGAGAGACAGCGAGGCTTGCAGAGCTGAGGCAGGGGAGGTATTCTTCCCAGGCATCAGCTGTTAGCCTGGGAGGCTGAAGAGCCTCATTAAAGCCCCGGTGCACCTCTGGCTCACGAGACCATCTCCATTGCCCATAGAGGATGTCCTCTTTGTGCTCCAGGGAGAATCGTCTTGTGAGTCAGAGGTGTGATGAGAGGTGCCGGAACAATTTTTATTCATACCCCAATTTTTATTTATTGCCCCAGCCATGCTGGGCGGCTTCCAACATATATAAAAAACAAAACATTAAACAATAAAAAGTCCCTATACAGGGTTGCCTTCAGATGTCTTCTAAAGGTTTTTAAGCTACCGTATTTTTCGCTCTATAAGACGCACTTTTTCCCTCCTAAAAAGTAAGGGGAAATGTGTGTGCATCTTGTGGAGCAAATGCAGGCTGCGCCGCCATCCCAGAATCCAGAACAGCAAGAGGGATCGCTGCACAGTGATCCCTCTTACTGTTCTGGCTTCTGGGATTCAGAATTTTTTTTCCTTGTTTTCCTCATCCAAAACTAGGAGCATCTTATGGTCTGGTGCGTCTTATAGAGCAAAAAATACGGTACTTCTCTCCTTGGCTCAGGAGTTGCATAACGCCATATCATCCAACATATGTTACTTTGTCTATCACTTCACCTGCCCAAATGACACCATAGGTGGCAAATACCCAAGTCTTACAGATAGTTCCCCTTTCTGAGCTCAGAGCCCAGCACCCCAAACCCACAGATAAGGATAACATCAAAGCAAGCCAATTAGCTTATATCAAAGCAAGTGTATATAAACATATATGACCTCATTGCTACAGCAACTGCCAATTAATGGTGAGATTATTTTGACTAACAAGATGGCGTTAGCAAAGCTTCTGGAACAGTTCACCTTTGGTTCAACACACCTTGATGAACATGCAGCCTGGACCTTTTAACAAGCACGTGTGTCCGAATGTCCTGAGAAATGTTTGGTCTGCTTATATGCCACCATTCAATGTAAAGTTGCCACAGAGACTCTCATGTTAACATAATAGGGTAATGACAAAAGTGTTTGAAATATGAAAACATGAAATATGAAAGTTTCATCTGATTGGTAATGACTCCTCCACACAGGCAATGTGTGGTGCTTGATGCTGCAATTTTCCAATGATGGGCATGCATGTATGAATAAGCTTATAAGAGAGAGGGTTTGAAATTAAGATATTGTGGCTTTATATTATGGTTTAGGACAGAGATGGGGAAGCAGGGGCCCTCCTGGTGTTGTTGGACTCCTAACTCCCAGCAGTCCCAGCCAGCATGGCCAGTCGTTGGGGATGATGGTAGTTGTAGACAGGGAAAAATGGTGGGGGCACTGGTTCCCCATCGTTGGATATTGGATCAAAAGGAGATTGCCAGACTTGGTGCAGGACAGGGCTTTTTCACCTGAAGGAATAACTTGTGTTTAAGTACAACTTCTCACACCGCTACAGCATTTGGATGGGAGAAGAAATTCCAGTTGAAAGTCTTGCTCTGTACAGTAGTTTCTTGGCACCACACTGAACTTTTCCCAGAAAGAAGTATGTTTTACTGTGTTGATGGGACCAGAGGAGTGAATAGTAGAGGTTTGTTTACTCACATTTTCTGTTCCCTCTAGGATGAATGAGGAGACCCGTAAAATCTTCTCAGAACTGGGTAGCAAGGTTGCCAAAGACCTAGCTTTTCGAGATAGCTGGGTTTTTGTAGGAGCCAAAGGGGTGCAGAACAAAAGTCCTTTTGAACAGGTACTGAACCATTTTTCCTTTTCACATATGTCACCTTGAAATGTCTGTATTTCAGAAAAATCCTGAAATCACTAGCTCACAGATGAGGAAAACTGGAGCACTCCAGATTCCAACTTCCATTGATTCTGACTTATTGGCCATGGTGGCTGGGCTGATGGGAGGTGGAGTCCACCAATATATGGAGGGCTGGAGGTTCTCTACCTCCGCCTTAGATAAAATCTGGGAGGAGAAGCAGAGGAGTGTGAAATATCCATGTAAACCCTGATTTTGTTATTTTCATAGCACGTCAAGAACAAAAAGAGCTCCAACAAGTATGAGGGTTGGCCTGAAGCACTTGAGATGGAGGGCTGCATTCCACAGCGAACTGCTGAGGTCTAGCGAGGACCTGTTTCCTTGAAGCCTGCGGTGTCTTTTTGTGGTGGGGGAAAGGCCCTTGCTTGTCCACCTGTTGTTGTCTTCCCATATGGTGGCAGCTATCCATTCTCCTTCTCTCCAGCAGCCTCTGCCTCAACTAGGCAATCAAGTTTTCCTTTCCAAAAGGCACGTCTGGCCCAAACCCTGGGAAAGGAAGTGAGGTATATGTGAGGCCACCCCCTCAACTCTCCCCTAGTGCCTTATTTTTCTCTTGGTTAGAAGAGCTCGCCCTACTTCCCCTTTGCCTGTTGCTCTGAATGTGATGAGCAGATGGGTGCCCTCTGCTCAGAGGAAGCAAGTATATTTATGTGACAGTCTTTCTTTTTCCACAGTGATCTGCTCACATGGTGGGGAACCTGTGGCCCTTTGGATGTTGCTGGACTCCAGCTCCCATCAGCCCCAGTCAGCCCTGCCAGTAGTTATGGGGTGATGGGAGTTGTAGTCCCAACTACATTGGGAGGCCCACAGGTTCTTCATTCCTGCGTTAAAGGGACCACTACTTTTCTATAATAGTTTATGTGGTTTAAGTTAGTTCTTCCACTACTACAGACACTAATATATAGGAGGAAGGAGATTAAGGACAATCCTTTTTTTGGTTTTGGTGAATCTCTTGAAAAATGTCAAGTTGCTGTTTCCTGAAAGACAATGTTGGTACTTAAACTGTGATGGGAATTGGAGATGGATCACTGTTCATATACATTGTTGTGGAAAGGAATCAAAGCTGAGTTTCTTTTTTTCAGAACACTTGTTGATAAACGGTATCTCCAATAAACAATGTGCACAGCAGCTGTTGGTTAATTGTTGTTCTTTCAAGAGCAGAACCAGTGCTGTTCCCTTGGGATCCGCAATTAGTGGCCAAGAGAGTGACTGCACTCTTGTAAACTCTTCCATTCCTGCTTTAGGTAGAGTCTGCAACCAGCATTTTGGCTTTCCACTGCAGATAACACCTAATCTGCCCTTGGGGAGTGGGCTCCTAATTTCTTTCCTGTTGCAGTAGGAGGACCCAGCTCACACACTCTTGGAAGGAAAGGATGCTACCTAGGGTCTGAACCTGGGCTACTGCAGCTCTTTTAATAGCTGGGGTGGGGAACCTTAGGGACTGAAGACAAATGCTTCCCTTGGGACTCTTCCCAGCCCTACCCCCTCCTAGTCTTGTTTTGTGCTCTCCTTGAGTGTTTTTGTCTAGCCTGGCTAGAATGTGTCCTTGACTCTGATAAAGCCTCTTGCTTCCCTAGATGAGGGAAAACAAAGAAGAGTGTGAGTAGAAACTAGCCTAGTGTACAAAGGTAAAACTTTACATTCTTTGCTCTGCTCACCTTTGCCTCTGGCTTTGCACACAACTGAGTTGCCCAGAGGTGAATACAGCTGGAAAGGTTCTCTAGCTCTTTTCCAGGATTTGGGCTTACTATCTTCTCCTTCACCTGTTCCCCTGCTTTCTCCCCAACATGTACCCTGTCCAAGGTTTTTCATCACCGCAAACATAATGTAAGACTGCGCACAGTTATGGTGATCCAAATCATGTTACCACTAGATGGGCTTATCCACACCTTAGTTTGCCCCAGCACTTTCCTCAGGAAAACCCTCTGTTTAGCCCAAATGGCAGTCAGGTTTTCTGTGGATTGCCTTTGTTCCAACTGAGCGCTAAAGAGTAGGATTTCCAGGGGAAAGTGGCAAAGGCAAAACTGCTCAGACCTGTGCCTAGAAAGCACAGGACAAGCAGCAGGGTGGACAGGCCTGGTGTCCTCTGTAACTGGGAGCAACATCCAGAAGGGGGAAGCACTTCTACCAATCTCACAATCACCCTGATGCCTGGGACTTGGGACATACCTGTGTCTCTGTGCTGAAGACTAAACTGGATTTTACTCACATTTCTTTTTTTAAAAGCTTCAACTAGCCACTTAAGTTGAAGAAAAAGTAGCCACTGCCCCACTCCAGTATTCGCTTCTTATCATATCGGGGTTTTTCTCAACATCACCGTGCCCTTAAAGGTGCTATTTGCATTCATTGGCACCTTTGAGGGTAAATAGCAGCTGAGGAAGGTGACTTAGGTTAGGAAACTGGCATGGGACCTTGTGAACTGCCCTGAGATCTACAGATTAAGAGCAATATGCAATTTTAATAATAATAATAGTAATAATAATAATAATAATAATAATAATAATACTGGGGCCCCAATCCAGATCAGCAGCTGTTTTTTCTTTAAAATAGTGGCCACTTGACACATGTTTCTAGAGTGTGAATAACATGTAGTTTTTCCTTGGATCATGTCCATAAAAGCTGGGCTGGCTGCATCCTATGACTGCTCTTGTGCAGTTTTAATAGAGCATTTAGGGAAGCCTAGCTTAAACTAATCCCTTTTGCCTGTTGAACAGAGAGCAAAAGGTGTCCTCGGACAGTACCTACAGAAGAAGTTCCAGGTAATCTCAACTTTTGCCTGCCTGGGATGGGGATTCTTTTGGATCCATAGGTAGCCATTCTTTCAAGTATTGCCAAGTACCTGGGGCAGCCTTCACCAGCCTGGAGTCCTCCAGATGTTTTGGACTTCATTGTGGAATGGGAATGGTTTGAGGAAGAGAACTTAGACAAGTTCCTTGAGCTGCAGAAAATCAAGATGCATCAGAGGAGCAAGACACAGGAGCATGTCTCATGGCCAGTGGAGCCTGGTGCAAAAAAACAGAATTCAGAATATGCTGGCTCTGGGCCACTGCTGAACAAATGGATTTAGTTTAAGTGCCAGAACTGAGCTGAGTCCTTCCATACAAAAATCCATTATTGATACTGTTAAACAATAGGGAGTCAGAAACCTTGCCAACTTCTCACCCAGTGATTTACCAATGGAGCTTGTTCTGCCTTCTGCTGGTGTCAGTGACCAAAGTAAGCACACTGGAGAGAAGGAGCTGCCTTGTATGGAGTTGGACAACTGGTACATCTAACTCTTAGAACAGCTGATCTACTGACAGGAGCTTTTCTGGGATTTGACCAGGGGTTTCTCAGTTTTGCTTTCCAAGACTGGCCACAGGCGCTAGGGTGCTCAAGGCACCCCAATCTGTCTCCCTCTCTCTGTCCCCTCACACTTTTTGCTATTGCCACGTACTAGGTAGTCTCCCTCAACTGGGCTTTGTTGCAGCTTTGTGACTTCTGAGTGGGCAGCAACAACCAATGGATTGAAGTAGTTTGTCTGCATGGTAATATTCCTTTTGTTCCCCTGCCCCCTTTTCCTGAAAGCAATAATAAAGCAATTATTTAAAAAAGTGTATCTGTTTTGGCCCACCAGAGTCCCTCATTATAATGATCACAATTATAGTGATGATTACCATGCAGACAAAATACATAAGAAGAACCAACCTAGATCAGACCCAAGGCCTATGGAAGCTGGCATCCAGTCTCCACAATGGCCGCCTTTGGCAGGGGGTGAAACTAGGCTTTATTTCACCCGAGTCAAAGACCCTGTTTGGAACACACACACCCCATGTGCATTTGCACACACACAGGCTGGGAGCCTCAATAGACTCCCTCTGGAGGCTTCACCCAGGGCAAAAAAACCTGGCTAGCCTCCCGGTAGCAACGCCTCTGCCTTTGGGAAGTCCACAAGTGGCATTTTACATGCAGACGAAACTCCTGAGTGGTGAGAGATCTCAGGGATACCAATACACACCTTGAGTGTGCTACCCTTAGAAATAAGGATGCTAGAGACACAGCTTTATAGTACAGTACCAGGTTTTATTTACACACATCTACAGGTTGAGTATAAGATGGAAGGGTTCACAGCATTAGCACTCAAACACATTATGCTCCACCATTAAGTTTCCAGACTTCCACAAAAGCCAAAACTGACCTAGCTGATGTTGGACTCTCCTCCGACATTCACTGATGATATCACTTCAAGGGTGGGGCGGCGGCAGGGAACCTGTCCACTTTTTGCTCAGCTTCTGAAAGCATTGCCAGTCATACTTTCTGTGGCAAATCAGTCACTTGGACTTCTTAGTCATGCAAAGAGATGCTAAACAGGCCTGGCTAGAGCTATTAAGAGACTGGTTTGACTACTTCAGTAGCCTTTCTTTCTTCAGAATATCATTTTACAGATATAAAACTACAGGCTTGGAGGGATCCGCTAGGTTGGCCCCCACCCAGGAAAGGGTGCAAAAATCACACCTCTCCACATCAAAACATCTTGCCAAAGGTGCACATGACTCTGTGTGTGTGTTAGTGTGTACCAATGCAGTTCCTTGCCAAGGACACAAGGGAGCCTAGGTATGCCTCTGCCCACAGATGATATCCAGACCACTACTCCCCCCAGTCCTATAACAAGGGGATGAGGGCAATCACCCTCTCCTGCTGTTCTTCCCCAGTGACTGGAACTCAGATGCACAAAGACTAGAATTGCACCAATCAAGCTTGCCAGTCATTAAGGTGGTTTAATTGGTATACTTGTTACATCTTTTGAAGGCCTAATCATAGGAGCTTTTAATAGGTGATGGGACTACAAAGCAGGAGGGAAATATCTTGAGATGGAGCTATAAAACAAGGAAAATTATGAATGCAGTCCCAATCATAATCCCTACAGATGTTAAAAACAGACAGGTAAACCATGTGTTTTGAAAAAACCTCCATTGTTATCAAGTGCCATTTGTTCCACTTTAATGTGGTGGTTTGGAGTGAGTTACATAATTTAGCAAGTTGAAACGATACAGTCTTGTGGCTAATAGTACAATCCTATTTCATATCATAGCTGTCAACTTTTCCCTTTTCTTACGAGGAATCCTATTCAGAAGAAGGGAATTTCCCTTAAAAAAAGGGAAACGTTGACAGCTATGTTTCATATAGATTTAGAAGCAAGCCCTGTTTAGTAAAATAGGGATAACGCCCAGGTAAATACGTACAGTATTGCAAAAGACATGATGAGTAAAGGGCTTTGAACAATCTGAAGTGGTATATAAATCTCAGAGAATCATAGAGTTGAAGGGAGTCCCAGGATCATCTACTCCAACCCCCTGCAATGCAGGAATCTTTTTGCCGAATGTGGGGCACAAACCCCAAACCCTAAGATTAAGAGTTTCATGTTCTACCAACTGAGCTATCCCAGATCCTAAATATTAAGTTCCATCCATTATCTTCTATCAACCTCTGCTTAGTAAATCCTCTGGTGCCATATTAGAATCATAGAATCATAGAGTTGGAAGAGACCACAAGGGCCATCGAGTCCAACCCCCTGCCAAGCAGGAAACACCATCAGAGCACTCCTGACATATGGCTGTCAAGCCTCTGCTTAAAGACCTCCAAATAAGGAGACTCCACCACACTCCTTGGCAGCAAATTCCACTGTCGAACAGCTCTTACTGTCAGGAAGTTCTTCCTAATGTTTTTCCTAATATTGTTACTGAGCTGAGAAGAAATGGCATTGGGAGGACTCTTGCTCGCTTTTTGGTTTTCTTCCTTGCGTTTATATCTTCCCCACAACATTGCACAAGGGGAACAATGATTAAAGTCCTCCCTGTCATCATCCCTGAATAAAAATAATAATCCCAAACCCTCTTCTTAAGCACAGGAAATACTCTAACTAAATGCATTTAATTGATACAAGTGAATCCGTAATCCCAGCAGAGCAAAAAGCCTCCCAATCCCATCAATCCGAGGATAGAAGGCCTTTAAATTGCCCAATCGAATAAAAGGATGAGCATAATCCTTTCCATCACATCACCGCCTAATCCCATTGAGATAGTTAGCGGTGGAGTGCATCCGTTTCTTCCAATCAGCGCTCAGCGAGTTTCTGATCCAGCCAACCCGGCAAAGGGTTTTTGCTAAACGGAGCAGAATGCAACTATTAATCTCGCATTTAGGACAGACGTGGTTGTCCACTTCCTCCAATCAGAACCCAGAGTGCCCCTATGATCCTATTTATCGAGGCTCAGAGCGATCTTAATGCCTCCTGCTGCTCTCTGAGATTTAAAAACACACACAAGCCAGCCAACCAGCGCATGGCAGGGCATTCTTCTTGCTTATACCAGATCCGAAGTGTTTTCCCTGTTGTTCTCTGCGCCTAAAGAGCATTTATTTATTTTTTGCGTGGGGGGAAGACTACAAATCCCAGCATGCCCTGCTAAACTCCCGGGGTGATCCTGCCATGAATTCGCATTCAGTTGCTGTAGGCGGGGCTATGATTGTGATGCGCCGCCACCCCCGGGGGGCGGAGTCGGAGAGGAAGGAAGAAGGAAGGAAGGAGAACGCAACCAAATCCAGCGGCGGAGTTCAGCTCTGGGGCGGCGGCGGCGGCGGCAGGTGAGGCGGTGGGAGCGCGATAGAGGCGGAGGGGTCAGACCAGGGCAGATTTTCGGGCTGAGGATCGCGGCTTCCCTGAGCGCTCCTTTGCAGAGGACTTGTTTAATGGAGAGATAATCGGGGGGGGGGCAGCTGCCCAAGGCTCTTGCTGGATCGTTGCTGACTTTGGGCGGGGGGGGTGTCTTTTTTGGTAAGACTCTTGTAGCGGGTTTTTTAGCGGAGGGAGAGAGGGAGATAAGAGGACGCACTGGGGGGGGGGTGAAGGGACGGGCCGCCTCCCTTTCAGGGAAAGTGGAATCGGTTTGGAGGAAAGTGTTGCGAGAGGGCGGTGAGCTTTTCCTCTTGCCTAAGAAAAAAGGGACGAGAGAGAGCAAGCAAGTTTTGTGGCTCTTTCCCAACAGGTGTTTATGGCTCGGAGAGAGAAGTGACTCAGCTGAACTGCAGGGGAAGCAGGAGAGCAAAGCGGGGGGGCTGCTGGTGCCCCGCGCCTCCTTCACCCCTTCATCTGCCTGCCCCCTTCTCGCTCACACGCGCGCCCTCCCTCTGCCAAAGGGGCCACTGAGTGCAATGGGTGGTGGGCCAGTTCCTGTGGGAAACACCTTGCCCTCGTGGGCTTTAAAAATGTTTGAGGAGTTGGAAACACTTCAGGCCTGGGCAGAGCAGCTTAAAGACGCACACCTCAGATCTAAAGGGAAATTGTAGGAGGTCAAGCCAAAACAAATGGAACACACCTAGAGCCAGTACATTTATGGCAAGCCTGGTGCTATTTAAAACAATCCTGAGATGGGAAGGCAGGGGAAATCATTGTCTTTTTCTGCATAGGGGAAGAGGCAAGGTTCTCTCTTTTCAAAACTATCTGCTGAATTTAGAAGGGAGGTTAAGGGGAAACGTACTTCCTTGTGTGGTTTTTAAGAAAAGATAAATGTGGGGCTGCCCCATGTATTATTGCTGCCCTAGGCAAGCTGAAATGTTGACACACTGATTGTTATGCTTGTCTTCACCTTTAACACAGGGCAGCCAATGAAGGTCTGAGGGTTACTGGGCTGCTGCCTAGCTTGAAAGTGCAGGCAGGCTCTTCCTCATACCACTGTTTAGCTATCTGGGGCAGGCACCCCTGGAATTTGGGTGCCCCAGGGAGTTGCCCAGCTTGCCTTTTTGTTGGATTAGCTCTGCTGAGCAAAGGGTTGCATAGACTGGGAGCACTCTGGCAAACCCTCTGCCCCTCTCATAATCCCGATTATGTCATCCACCCTCCCATATGCAAGCCAGCCTGTGAAATTGCCCCCAGATGGGGTTTCTTGGCCATGCTCATTGTCTCAGCACCCGCTCTGTGGCCCTTCCTGCCTTAGGGTCAAATGAGTGAGAGCCCTCCTTGTTCCAGTTGTTGGGAATGGAGGGAACAGTGGAACAGGAGGCTCTGTGGCTGCAAGACTGTTAAAGATTAGAGGGTTCTACAGTTTGTATTATGACAACCCTCACTTGGGATGCTCTAGTCTAGGCCAAGGGTAGCTAAACTCACTGGCCGTTGGCTGGGGCTGATGGGAGTTGGAGTGCAGCAACGTCTGGAGGGTCTCACATTACTACAGGCCCAGAATACCCTTCCTTGGGTTAGGACATGGGTAGGCAACCTAAGGCCCGGGGGCCGGATCCGGCTTAATCGCCTTCTAAATCTGGCCTGTGGATGGTCTGGGAATCAGCGTGTTTTTACATGAGTAGAATGTGTCCTTTTATTTAAAATGCATCGCTGGGTTATTTGTGGGGCATAGGAATTTGTTCTTTTTAAATATATATATATAGTCCGGCCCCCCACAAGGTCTGAGGGACAGTGGACCGGTCCCCTGCTGAAAAAGTTTGCTGACCCCTGGTAGAAGATCAAATGAAGTGGTTTACTTGGTCATGGTGTGTGTGCCTCTAAGAATTATCCAATGTTTATTTCCTTGTAGGTGAACACTGTGCAGTGTGCTTGAACACTCTGCCTCCCTATCCACTCCCTGATTTGGTTGGATGCTTCTGCACCATCACTGTTGCATCAGCAGAGGGTGCCCTTGGACCTGAGCCCAAAAAGAGAATGACCCAGTGAATCCATGTTTTGTCCATGCTGGAGAGGGAACGAAGTTCTGCATGGAATGAGTCGTTTACATGACTTTGCCAGCCAGCTGTGCCATGGGTGGGGCAGCCCTCTTCTTTCTCCACCTGTTGGTGGCTGGTTGGGCTCAGGGAGCGACTGCTGACAGCCCTTACCTTAGTGTGGGGGACGGGACAGCGTTGGAATTTGACTTCCCTGCACACAGCCGTGGTGTCTTGCTGGTTTCCTGCCGCTATTCAGGGCCCAACGCTTGGCTGAGCGCGGAATCTCTAGAACCTACCGTTGTTGCCGTTGAGAACGTCAGCGCTTCCTGGGGAGGAGGTTTTATGGTTGGGTTTCAGTCCAGCTTAGCTGGCCTAGCTCCGCTGCAGCTGCAGTTGCTGGAGCAGAACCGACTTATCGAGAAAGCCGATTTCCAGATCCGTGTCAGTGCTCCAGAGCCGGTGGCATCGTCGGGGCTGGGCCACTTCTCTGAGAACCCCATCCTCTATGCTCTCCTGCCTCTCATCTTCCTCAACAAATGTGCATTTGGCTGCAAGGTGGAGGTGGAGGTTCTGTGGAACCTGGTGCGCCAACCCCACCCGATCATGCTAGGCATACTAGGCCAGTTTGTCGTCATGCCGCTGTACGGCTACCTCATGTCTGTGGCCTTCTCCTTGCCTAAGCCGCTGGCCTTGGGACTGGTCATTTCTTGCTCCTCACCTGGTGGTGGTGGCGGCTACCTGTACAGTCTGCTGCTGGGTGGCGACGTCACCGTGGCCATCTCTATGACCCTCCTGTCCACAATTGCAGCCACGGGGCTGATGCCGCTCTCCTCGACGTTCTACGGCTGGTTGCTGGGCGCCCACGAGACTCTCCACATCCCCTTCCTCAAGATCTTCATCACCCTGCTCTTCATCGCTGTGCCCATCTCCACTGGCATGTTGGTCAAGTGCAAGCTGCCTCGCCTCGCCCGCCTCCTGCTGCTCCTGATCAAGCCGTTCAGCTTCACCCTCATTATAGGAGGACTCTTCATGGCGTACCACATGGGCGCCTTTATCCTGGCGAATGTGCAGGCCCCGATTGTGCTGGCGGGCGTCACTGTGCCCCTCTTTGGCCTGCTGTTGGGCTACTTGCTAGCTTGGTGCTTAGCGCTGCCTGGGCCACAGCGCCGGACGGTTAGTATTGAGGTTGGGGTACAGAACAGCCTGCTGGCTCTGGCTGTGCTGCAGCTCTCCTTCCAGCGGGCCCAGGCTGACTTTGCCTCACAGGCTCCTTTCATCGTGGCCCTGAGCAGCACTTCAGAGATGTTGTTGCTGGTTTTGGGGAACCTGGCATACAACAGACTCTGTTCTGCAGGCTCCTGAGTGCTCCTGGGTGAGGGGAGGCAGATACCAAAGATGTCAGAACATTGGCTGTGGCCTGCAAGAAGAGACGGATACCATAGGCCTTAGAAGCTGGTCTTGGGGTGCTTTCCCCCATCCCTGGGGTGTGGATTCCAAGGCCTCAGCCTCTCAACCTTTCAAGGGGTGGCTTGGGTACCAAAGGGGCCCTTTGAAGTGAGAAGCACACACCTCCCAGAGGCTGCTTGAGTGCTAGGAATCCACATCATCTGGCCTTTTTGTTTTCTTTTTTCTTGTCTACTTGTTTTTCTACACAGCGAGTGGTGCCTCTGGAGCTTAGAGCTAGAGCTGTACTGACTGTGAGGTGGAAGATGGGGGGTGGAACTGACCCATTTCTTCTCTCCCATTCACCAGGGATACAGGGTTTGAATAAAACGAAAGAGATAATACGTTCTGTGTGGCTGTCTTTCTTATTCTTATCTCCTTCCAGGAGCTGCAGAAATGGGGCTCTGTGGAGTGATGGGCAGACGTGCAGGCAGCCTAGGAGGATTTTTTCACATTTTTTAAAAAAAGCTAGTGCCCCTGAAATGTGCTTGAAGGCTTGGGTGAAAATGTCAGAAACAAATAAAAACTCCAAAATCCACACTTGTGCAATGCCTTTTATTACGGCCAACCAAAATGTCACTTGTAGGACCTAATAAAGGTGTTGCCCAACTGTGGATTTTGGATTATTATTATTTTCTTATAGACCGAGATGGCTACCTTTGCTTTTTATATAATGAAGTAAAAAAAGTTTGGAGTTGGATGATCGTTTTCTTCAGAGAATTACAGGGAATATGAGAGGGGCATTGTAGTCTCCCTCCCTGTGTGTGCTTAAGTGTGTGTAAGAATATATATGCATCCTCTCTACTGTTGCCTCTGATAAATTTCTTATTAATATTTTTGCACTGTTAAAATGGAGGCAGTGAGGAAGAGTATATGCAGACCATGCTGTCGCTCAGCAGTCTGAACAAAAGGAACTCTACCTCTGGCCTGTGAAGAGCCAGCTCTGCTGCGTCAACATTCAGTATCCTCCTAGTACAGCAGGCACTAACCTGTTGGCCTCCGGCTCCAGCACGGCCAATGGTCAGGGGTGAAGGGAGCTAAAGTCCAACAACAGCGAGAAAACCACACGTTGGCCACCTCTGAGCTAGTTCAACTTCAGCTTCGCTCATGCAGAATGCCTGCTGAGTATAGATCACAGTCTGCTTGCCTTTCACTATTTCCAGGCTGGCTGTGTCTTGCATACCACAGGGGACATGGTGGAGGGTGGTGACATTTGTGCCCAGTTCACTCATCCAGCACAGTTTGTTCTGAGTGATCGTTTACTGCGGTTGGGTGTCTCAATTAAAGGTGTTTGATCTTGTGCCAGAGGGAAACAGTGACTTTACTACTACTGAACCGCCCTTCTCACCTGTCAGCTTAAAGAGTCCAATCTACTCTTTCAACTATGGCCCCAAATCCATTTTAAGGACCACTTTCCCTTTCATCACCCCCCTCACCCTCCCCTGCACTGCCTGGTTGGGTGGACAGCGCTGGAGATGGATTAACAATCAGGCAGAGAATGGAGTAGAGTAGGACACACACACACACCCCTAAACTGGGAGCCCCTCATGTGTTGTAAGCATTCAGGAGAGGTAAGGAGATGCCTGTTCTGTTCTACTCTTGGTGGGGAGAGGCATGTTCTGCTCCAAAAGTCTTCATGGAATGGTTTGTTTCATTGTTTGATAGAGCAGTAAGGATGAGTACTAGCTAATGTTTGCAATCCTACCCGCACTAGGGAGTAGGTCTCATTGAAATTCAGTGGGAATTGTTTCTGAGTAAACATGCATAGGATTACATTGCAAGTTTTGAAGTTGGCCTGCCAGCAAAGCTCTTGGGTAATGGTCGGGGTGCGCGTGATGGAAGTTGTAATCTAGCTTTGAAGAGGAAGTTAAATGAAAAAGAGAAGTGGTATCATAGATGCATTCTGGAAATGGTCGGGGTGGGGGCAGGATTTCAACTAATGAAAATTGTGGGATTAGCAGGACGTTCATAACTGTTCCGCATCTGTGGATGAGGGTTGCCTAAGGGCATCAGATGTATAGAATTCAAATTCAGTCATCGTAGAGCTCCCGTATCCTTTAATCCATTGCTGGGCATTATCTTTGTCGATTTGCTTGGCTATTTCCATTACTTAGAGGTGGGTGTTGGAGGACGGTTACTTTCCACTCTCGAAATAACTTCTTTGTGGTCAGGTGTCGTGTTTTTCTCTCCTCCTTGCATATCTCATGTCAGCCCAGATAGAGCTGCTCTTCCAGGATGTCTGCATCAATTTTACCAACACCTCCACTCTGCAGCCCCATTGGGTAGCAGAGCTGGAACCTGCTCACCTAAGAGCTTCTGGGCAATGTCTTTATTAACATAGGTTTCACAGATTAAAAAGAAAAAAGTGTTGGCATGAAGGCCACTTGGTAGAGCCCACCTAGAGTGCCAAGTGTACCCAAAGGTAGGCTGTTGAAGGGGCAGAACTAGCAGGACTGCCATATTGTGCTTTGCTAAGTAGAAGTGGTTGACTAATATTCCCCACCCCTGCTGATAAAAGAAAAATCCCATATCCTCTAAACTCCTCTACTTCCCTTGAAGGGCGTATGAGATAGGGCTTGAAAGGCAAGATGGGGGACACTCAGGTGTTGGAATAAAAGTATTTGGGGGAGTTTTTATGAGGCCTTTTTGCTCATTTCTCCCCTTTGATATCTTTCTTAGTTCCCACAGCGTTAGTGGTTGTGATGTGTAGACAGCCATTCAAAGGAGCAGGTTGAAATTTGTCAGTTTGGCTTAGGAGTTTCTGTGACTATGTTAACACAAAAACAGTGGTTCCATATAAGTATATTATTATTAATTCCATAGGAGTATCTGTTTCTACAAATAAATAAAATGTGTAGATTAGCAATTGGGAGTAAATGGCTAAAGGGCATAAGAGGCTCCTGCCAAAGCCTCTGTGGCTATTTACACAAGGGAGCTACAAAGGTGAGGAGTTCCTCTCAGGCAAGATATTCCAACTCATTTCAGGAGGAATACCTTTGAAAGCGCAGGTCAGGGCTGTGTACACACCATACATTCAAAGCCCCCACACGCCAAATCCTGGTAACTGCAGTTTACCCTTCGCAAAGCATCTTAACAAGATGCAGTTCACAGGATTCCTTTACATGCAGCCCAGTCTGGGTGTTAGTGGGCCCAGTTTGCACTTTCAGAGCACTGGACAGCCTCTTAAATGAGGTGAGCTTACCGAAGGTACTGATCAGACTGGCTGACAGCCAACCTGATTCATGTTTTCAAATGTGTCCCTCCGGCCGCTGACCCATGGGGGTGGGGAATCAAAGCTCCTCATTGATTTTTCTTCTGTAGGTTAATGGTCCCTGATAAGACGTACCTCACCCCTATGCCAAAGAATCATTTGTGTAAGGAGTGAGTCAGTGAGTGGAGCAAGTGTTGGTGACTTGGCGCGTAACCAACATGGAATTTGAGGGCTCTTATTGAAATAAGACTTATTTATCTGAAGATAAGCATGCCCACATTAAAAACTCTTGCTTCTCTCCCCATATTCTACACCCACTCCTAAAATCTTGAAGAATGTGGAATATCCCAAAATCAGATGATGACCAGTGGATGGTTGATAGATTGTGGGGGAGTGGCTCATAGTTCTAGAATAGTTCTACAATCTCTTCATCTTGTACTCTTCACATGCATAGAGCTTTGATGGTCTTCCTCAATCCCCAGCCTACTACTGCTGAGCTCTGATTTTTCAATAAACAAAAGCAAAAATATAAACATTTTGTGCAAGTACATTTATTATGCATTTGTAAAAGTTGCAAGAAATCCCATCAAGCTTTTCTTTGGGGGAAGTTATAGAACCGTAATGCTTATTTCTGAGAACCGGACTTCAAGGTGGTGGGGCTTTACCTCAGATGTTCTTTGGAGTGGTATTGCCAGCCAGGCAATTGGATTGGACGTTATATTGTGGCAATGCCTCCACTTGTTTTTAAAACTAAGAAATGCAATCATAACATGTCTAAGTCCGGCATTTCTTTTTCTTTTGATGCTTTGCCTAAGATATTGAATCCAAAAATACAGGCTATTCAGCACCTGCTCCCATCATGCACACAGATAAATTATCCACAAATACCTATATATTATTATCCCTTGAGTCAGGTCAGAGGCAAAAAAAAAAAAAAAAAAAAAGGAAAGAGAGACTGATAAGTGGAAAGGAATGAAGAGAACTAATTTGAGGGCAAGGTTAATCTAACTTGACAGGGCAGGTGGAATGCAATCCGCTCTGCACACCTGTGCGTGCATGCACACGCCTGCAGTGGCACTGTAGACAGGAAATTTCCATGAGATAAGATCACACTCCGTAATTGCCTCCAGTTTACAAAAGAAAAAACACCTCCCTCTGTAACTAGAGACATATATGCCACAACAGTGGAAGATGATTCCGCAATATCAGCAGCATTAACGGATGGAATACAATGAGATTCACAAGTACCAGACTGGCTTTATTTCTGAAAGAATGAAAATACTGTCCGTTTGGCCACTACAAGCATCTCCTAACACATGAAAAAAATACAAGAGGAGGCAGGGACACTCTTCACTAAGATGTGAGACTGGTTAAATATCAGTCTTTACAGAGGTTGCCAAGCTTTTGGAGCATGTGGACACATTTGCAAAGTGGAGAAACCTCGCATACAAGACAGCCTGTTGGGGAAGGGCCATCGCTCAGTGGTAGAGCACCTGCTTTCCCAAGTTCAATCCCCACTGGCATCTCCAGGTATAGCTGGGAAAGAACCCTACCTGGAATCCTGGAGAGCAGCTGCCAGTCAGTGTGGACAGTACTGAGCTAGCTATACCAAGGGTCTGACTCAGTAGAAGGCAATTTTCTATTCTATTGACTACAATGAAGTGATTGTTTCAAGGTTAATTTCAGTGGGGAGAGGGTAGGTGGACACTGGGCTCCAGAGAAGGCCTGAGTGGTCACACACGAGTGTTGGGAGGCGCCAAGTTGGCGACCCTGTAGGTATTTCAAATGTCAGTTTTAAAATTCTATTCTGGCACAGGTATTTATGTGCAATGCTATTTATTGATGTTGAAACTGTCTTGACTGATTCACTTGTCAATTGAATCGGATCAGAGATGTTTGTTTTTTTAATCACAATAGATGTGTTAATTAGCTGATCAATATGCTACAATGTCTGTGACTGAAAAACTTTGTGTTTCAGATTCCAGTATCTTTTGTTCCAGCCCAAGTTTCACCCCTCTGCAGATATCTTTGTGCCTTCCTGGCAGACAGCTGTAGCAATATCCCAAGGGACATGGCTAATTGTGGTAATAAGGTTTTACCTGCCTCAGATCCCAGTGCTCTGTTACCTTCCTGTTGTT